CACCACCACCACCACCAGTACTACCACTGTCACCACCACCACCACCAGTACTACCACTGTCACCACCACCACCACCACCAGTACTACCACTGTCACCACCACCACCACCACCACCAGTACTACCACTGTCACTACCACCACCACCACCACCACCAGTACTACCACCACCCGTACTACCACTGTCACCACCACCACCAGTACTACCACTGTCACCACCACCACCACCACCAGTACTACCACTGTCACCACCACCACCACCACCACCAGTACTACCACCACCACCACCACCAGTACTACCACCACCACCACCACCAGTACTACCACTGTTACCACCACCACCAGCACCACCACCACAACCAGTACTACCACTGTCACCACCACCACCACCAGTACTACCACTGTCACCACCACCACCACCACAACCACCACCAGTACTACCACTGTCACCACCACCACCACCACCACCACCACCAGTACTACCACTGTCACCACCACCACCACCACAACCACCACCAGTACTACCACTGTCACCACCACCACCACCCGTACCACCACTGTCACCACCACCACCACCACCACCAGCACTACCACTGTCACCACCACCACCACCACCAGTACTACCACTGTCACCACCACCACCAGTACTACCACCACCACCACCACCAGTACTACCAATGTCACCACCAACACCACCACCACCAGTACTACCACTGTCACCACCACCACCAGCCCCACCACCACAACCACCACCAGTACTACCACTGTCACCACCACCACCACCACCACAACCACCACCAGTACTACCACTGTCACCACCACCACCACAACCACCACCAGTACTACCACTGTCACCACCACCACCACCACAACCACCACCACCACCACCACCACAACCAGTACTACCACTGTCACCACCACCACCACCACCAGTACTACCACTGTCACCACCACCACCACTGTCACCACCACCACCACCACTGTCACCACCACTACCACCAGTACTACCACTGTCACCACCACCACCAGTACTACCACTGTCACCACCACCACCAGTACTACCACTGTCACCACCACCACCAGTACTACCACTGTCACTACCACCACCACCACCACCACCAGTACTACCACCACCAGTACTACCACTGTCACCACCACCACCACCACCACCAGTACTACCACTGTCACCACCACCATCACCACCAGTACTACCACTGTCACCACCACCACCAGTACTACCACTGTCACCACCACCACCAGTACTACCACTGTCACCACCACCACCAGTACTACCACTGTCACCACCACCACCACCACCAGTACTACCACTGTCACCACCACCACCAGTACTACCACTGTCACCACCACCACCACCATTACTACCACCACCACCACCACCACCAGTACTACCACTGTCACTACCACCACCACCAGTACTACCACTGTCACCACCACCACCACCAGTACTACCACTGTCACTACCACCACCACCAGTACTACCACTGTCACCACCACCACCAGTACTACCACTGTCACCACCACCACCAGTACTACCACTGTCACCACCACCACCAGTACTACCACTGTCACCACCACCACCAGTACTACCACCACCACCACCACCAGTACTACCACTGTCACCACCACCACCACAACCACCAGTACTACCACCACCACCAGTACTACCACCACCACCACCACCAGTACTACCACTGTCACCACCACCACCAGTACTACCACCGTCACCACCACCACCACTGTCACCACCACCACCACCACTGTCACCACCACCACCACCAGTACTACCACCACCACCAGTACTACCACCACCACCAGTACTACCACTGTCACCACCACCACCACCAGTACTACCACTGTCACCACCACCACCACCAGTACTACCACTGTCACCACCACCAGTACTACCACTGTCACTACCACCACCACCACCACCACCACCACCACCACCAGTACTACCACTGTCACCACCACCACCACCACCACCACCACCAGTACTACCACTGTCACCACCACCACCACCACCAGTACTACCACTGTCACCACCACCACCACCACCAGTACTACCACTGCCACCACTACCTCCAGTACTACCACTGTCACCACCACCACCAGTACTACCACTGTCACCACCACCACCACCACCAGTACTACCACTGTCACCACCACCACCACCACCAGTACTACCACTGTCACCACCACCACCACCAGTACTACCACTGTCACCACCACCACCACCAGTACTATCACTGTCACCACCACCAGTACTACCACTGTCACCACCACCCGTGCTACCACTGTCACCACCACCACCACCAGTACTACCACTGTCACCACCACCACCACCACTACTACCACCACCACCACCACCACCACCATCAGTACTACCAGTCTCCACCGTGACTTGGCATAGATGTGTCGTGTGTGTGTGTGGTATGTTTTTTTTTTCTACCACAGACGTGGCCACACATTTACAATGCTAACCAGCATATATACATTTTCTTCTGTCCTCCATGGACAGGGTGAGAGATCGTTTAAACATATAGTTCAAGGGTTTATTGAACAATCAACCACAGAAGGTGATTCGGTGCTTTCAAAATGCTAAGTTAACCTACATACGTAAATACATAGATGCACAGATTTACGTATGCCCTACATAAAGTGTTCGATGTGTCCTTTACATAGTGTCATTAATGTGCATTTACAAAGGTGAAATGTAATTCTGATCAGCTTCCATGTGTACTTTATACACATACATATACATACACACATACATATACATACACACATATATATGTACACATACATATATGCATACATGTACACATACATATACACACACACATGCATTCACATACATTTGTCTCTTACTCTGACAGAGTGAGATAGCTGATAGAGAAACTAGTGTGCAATTAAGCACTTGATCACTGAAGGTGATGAAGGTGCTTTTACAAGCTCAGGTTATATAGTTACATCACATACATTCATTATATAATTGATACATTACATGGTTAATCTTGGGTACAAGTCCAATATATTATCAAGTGTTCCAGTACTCATATAGTAGTTACAGAGTTCAGCATACCTTAGCCCAGGAGGGCGAAAGTCAGTCAATATGGGACATTCTACAATATAATGTTCAAGAGAGTGCATGTTTTCTCTTTCACAAAGTTGACACATTGTGTACTCGACATTTGGGTTTTGAGAAAGCTGCCAGATACGTCTATATCCCAGGCGTAGTATGTTGTGGTGTGAGTGCCATGGCTGGGTGGTTGTGTGTGTGGCCTAGCTGGTGTGTGGTAACCTTAACGCCGCTGGAGTTGGCTACCGGAGGCTAAGATTACCAACATCACGGAAGTTGCTCTTCTTGTAGCACCATTTTTTTTTGTTATTGATTGTTTGTATTTTGTTTTGTTTTTTAGGTGTAGATCGGGTCCGGGATGGGCCACTCATGTGGGTCGTCTGGCAGGCCACTCATGTGGGTCGTCTGGCAGGCCACTCATGTGGGTCGTCTGGCAGGCCACTCATGTGGGTCGTCTGGCAGGCCACTCATGTGGGTCGTCTGGCAGGCCACTCATGTGGGTCGTCTGGCAGGCCACTCATGTGGGTCGTCTGGCAGGCCACTCATGTGGGTCGTCTGGCAGGCCACTCATGTGGGTCGTCTGGCAGGCCACTCATGTGGGTCGTCTGGCAGGCCACTCATGTGGGTCGTCTGGCAGGCCACTCATGTGGGTCGTCTGGCAGGCCACTCATGTGGGTCGTCTGGCAGGCCACTCATGTGGGTCGTCTGGCAGGCCACTCATGTGGGTCGTCTGGCAGGCCACTCATGTGGGTCGTCTGGCAGGCCACTCATGTGGGTCGTCTGGCAGGCCACTCATGTGGGTCGTCTGGCAGGCCACTCATGTGGGTCGTCTGGCAGGCCACTCATGTGGGTCGTCTGGCAGGCCACTCATGTGGGTCGTCTGGCAGGCCACTCATGTGGGTCGTCTGGCAGGCCACTCATGTGGGTCGTCTGGCAGGCCACTTAGTATTTGAGGTGTTGGGAAGGCCTCATCATGGATGTGTCTGGTCACTTTTTGTTGGAGAGTGATTCTTGTGGTTGTGTGTGGTGGTCCATGGCTCTCGTAGTCGCTGGTGGTGTTTACTGCTTCATAGGGATCTTCAGGGTCTGGGACATACATGTGCTTCATGCGGTACAGCTGCCTTCTGGCCAGGTAGCTGAGCCGGGTGTTCCTTGGCATCATGTTGTGTGTCTCATGGATCAGGTCTGTTCTTACCCTGTTCACCAGTGTGGCCCGCCGCGAAGTGAAGTGCTTTGTTTTCTACCCGTTGGATCTTCAGCATGTTGGTGCTGTTGGTGAGGTTGAGGGGGACGTAAGGGTACTCCAGGCTAGGCCTTATGATCATTCTGTACAGGTGGAGCTTGACGGGGGACGTGGCTTGCCTGAAGCGGAATAGCCTCGACAGGGAACCCTTAGCCATCGATGTCTTCTAGGAGACGTACTGGGTGGAGTTAAGTAGCCTGTTGAAGTTGTATCCAAGCACAGTGTTGAAGTCTGAGATGGCTATGGGTTCACCCCTGACACTTACCCCCCCCCCTTTTTCTTCGATTGTGTAGGCCATACAACCGACAGTCCTTATTTGGATCTTATCTGGGTTAGTGGTGATCTTCCATGTCCTTTCCCAGATAGCAGTCCTGACTAGTTCTACGTTCGCCTAACGGGTGACGGTGGCGTGTCTGGCTGCTGGGGTTGGTTGTTATTACGTGTGTTACGTCGTCACCAAATTGGACGATGATGGTGTCCTTGTCATCTGGGTGGAGCAGGTCACTGACGAAAATGTTGAAGAGGGCCGGGCTCAGGCACGACCCCTGGGGACTCCAGCTGTTGGGGTGAAGACTGCTGCAGCTTTCGCCTTGACGCTGGGAGTAACTTGCCTGTTCTTAAGGAAATTAGGTTATTTGACCTTATATACATCCCGGTCAGTGGTCAAGGTCATTCAGTAGGTGCCAGAGTTGTAGTTGTTGATTGTGGGGGCCCCGACGGTATTAGAGCTGGCTGGGCCCCGACGGTCCGAGTGCAGGGTGGGCCCCGACGGCCCGAGTGCTGGGTGGGCCCCGACGGTCCGAGTGCTGGGTGGGCCCCGACGGTATTAGAGCTGGCTGGGCCCCGACGGTCCGAGTGCAGGGTGGGCCCCGACGGTCCGAGTGCTGGGTGGGCCCCGACGGTCCGAGTGCTGGGTGGGCCCCGACGGCCCGAGTGCTGGGTGGGCCCCGACGGCCCGAGTGCTGGGTGGGCCCTGAAGGCCCGAGTGTTGGGTGGGCCCCGACGGCCCGAGTGCTGGCTGGGCCCCGACGGCCCGAGTGCTGGCTGGGCCCCGACGGCCCGAGTGCTGGCTGGGCCCCGACGGCCCGAGTGCTGGCTGGGCCCCGACGGCCCGAGTGCTGGCTGGGCCCCGACGGCCCGAGTGCTGGCTGGGCCCCGACGGCCCGAGTGCTGGCTGGGCCCCGACGGCCCGAGTGCTGGCTGGGCCCCGACGGCCCGAGTGCTGGCTGGGCCCCGACAGCCCGAGTGCTGGCTGGGCCCCGACGGCCCGAGTGCTGGCTGGGCCCCGACGGCACGAGTGCTGGCTGGGCCCCGACGGCACGAGTGCTGGCTGGGCCCCGACGGGGAGGGGGTCAGTGGAGGTGGTGTTGCCAGAACATCGTGTCCACCCCGCCATGGCTGGCGGTATCTCCAGGTACACATTACTGGCCCATAATCAGGAACATTACAACACATCAATCAATAATCACCTTCACTCGTCCACGACGGACCGAAACGTCGTCGTTTTTCCATCTTCTGATGGAATTGGATTGCCAGAAAGCCTTTGACACAGTACCACATAAGAAATTAGTTTGATCATCACTAACAAAGTCCCAATTATGATGTCAAATAAGTCCCAATTAAGATGCTTGATGTGCTTCAACAACTCGATATCCAGATATCTTAGGGGTGGTTGGCCCGCACGTTCACCGAGACTGATTTACAGAGACAACAGTGAATTCTGAACGCCCTCAACCCACACTCTCACCTCATTGCACTGCAATTATAACGCTTTGTACCCCACGTTCGTCAGAGCAAGTTAAGTTCACTCAAGCACAGCAATTTCGACGCTCTGGGACGAATTGGTCATTTGGCCTCGACAGGCCGCAGTAACCACTCTCGCAACACAACCGTTTCCCATGCGAGGGGCTCGACAGGTTAGGAGGGTAGGTTGGGTTTGTACGTGTTTGGTTAGGCTAACCTGGTGTATTTATTACGGAGTGGCTGACCTAGAGAACGGGCTGAAGTATACACACAGGCCCAGCACCCCAGCTATACATAGTCCCAGCAATACACAGGCCCAGCACCCCAGCTATACATAGTCCCAGCAATACACAGGCCCAGCACCCCAGCTATACTCAGGCCCAGCACCCCAGCTATACATAGGCCCAGCAATACACAGGCCCAGCACCCCAGCTATACTCAGGCCCAGCACCCCAGCTATACATAGTCCCAGCAATACACAGGCCCAGCACCCCAGCTATACTCAGGCCCAGCACCCCAGCTATACATAGGCCCAGCAATACTCAGGCCCAGCACCCCAGCTATACATAGGCCCAGCAATACACAGGCCCAGCACCCCAGCTATACTCAGGCCCAGCACCCCAGCTATACATAGGCCCAGCAATACACAGGCCCAGCACCCCAGCTATACTCAGGCCCAGCACCCCAGCTATACATAGGCCCAGCAATACACAGGCCCAGCACCCCAGTTATACACAGGCCCAGCACCCCAGCTATACACAGGCCCAGCACCCCAGCTATACACAGGCCCAGCACCCCAGCTATACATAGGCCCAGCTATACACAGGCCCAGCACCCCAGCTATACACAGGCCCAGCACCCCAGCTATACATAGGCCCAGCAATACACAGGCCCAGCACCCCAGCTATACTCAGGCCCAGCACCCCTGCTATACACAGGCCCAGCACCCCAGCTATACTCAGGCCCAGCACCCCTGCTATACACAGGCCCAGCACCCCAGCTATACACAGGCCCAGCACCCCAGCTATACACGGGCCCAGCACCCCAGCTATACACAAGCCCAGCACCCCAGCTATACACAGGCCCAGCACCCCAGCTATACACAGGCCCAGCACCCCAGCTATACACAGGCCCAGCACCCCAGCTATACACAGGCCCAGCACCCCAGCTATACACAGGCCCAGCACCCCAGCTATACACAGGCCCAGCACCCCAGCTATACACAAGCCCAGCACCCCAGCTATACACAGGCCCAGCACCCCAGCTATACACAGGCCCAGCACCCCAGCTATACACAGGCCCAGCACCCCAGCTATACACAAGCCCAGCACCCCAGCTATACACAGGCCCAGCACCCCAGCTATACACAGGCCCACCACCCCAGCTATACACAGGCCCAGCACCCCAGCTATACACAGGCCCACCACCCCAGCTATACACAGGCCCAGCACCCCAGCTATACACAGGCCCAGCACCCCAGCTATACACAGGCCTTCACTGTGAGGAACGAGGTCTCACAGTGACGATAGAATTAGATTCTAAGACGATATTCGATTCTAAGACGGATAAGATTCGTGACGATAGAATTAGATTCTAAGAACAACTGGCAATGGAAATAGCGGAAATGTTCTCAATAACTACCAGTAGAACAAAAGTTGATGAATGGTCTCTAGAAATAGAACAAAATCAATAGATAAATTAGCAAGCACAGTTCTTGGACTTATACTGTTCTTGATGTATATAAATGATCTGCCAGAGGGTATAGACTCGTTCCTCTCACTGTTTGCTAATGATGCAAAAATAATGAGGAGGATCAAGACAGAGGAAGATAGTATGAGGCTACAAGATGACCTGAACAAACTGAAGGAATGGTCAAACAAATGGCTACTAAAGTTCAACCCAAGTAAGTGTAAGGTAATGAAACTAGGAAGGAAAGAAATAGGAGGCCAGACACTGGATATCGAATGGGAGATGAAGTCCTTCACGAAACAGACAGAAAGATCCAAGAGTTGATATCACGCCAAACCTGTCTCCTGAAGCCCACGTCAAAAGAGGTCTAGCACCCAGCTATGCACATCAATTGCGTATGCGAGGCTTGCCTCAGAACTGCCTTCAGGAACCTGTGTAATTAATCTTTCAGAACATTGTATACTACGTATGTAAGACCAATCTTGGAGTATGCGGCCCCAGCATGGAGCCCGTACCTTGTCAAGCACAAGACGAAGCTGGAAAAAGTTCAGAGGAATGTCACTAGGCTGGTCCCAGAACTAAGAGGCATGAGTTACGAGGAAAGGCCGAGGGAACTGCACGTCACGTCGCTGGAAGACAGAAGAGCCCGGGGAGACATGATCGCCACCTACAAAATTCTCAGGGGAATTGGCAGGGTAGACAAGAATGTATTATTTAATGTGGTATACGCACAAGGGGACACAGGTGGAAGCTGAGTTCCCAAATGAGCCACAGAAATATTAGAAAAAACTTTTTCAGTGTCAGAGTAGTTAGTAAATGGAATGCATTAGGCACTGATGAGGTTAAGGCCCCTGGGCTAAGGTATGCTGAACTCTGTAACTACTATACGAGTACTGGAACACTTGATGATATATTGGACTTGTACCCAAGATTGACCATGTAATGTATCAACTTTACAATGTATGTATGTGATGTAACTATATAACCTGAGCACCTTCATCACCTTCAGTGATTAAGTTGTGTTGTTGTTGTTAAAGATTCGTTACCTGGAACAAAAAGTTCCAGGTAACACGGGCTATGGTGAGCCCGTGAATAGTGTGATTAAGTGCTTAATTACACACTAGTTTCTCTGTCAGATATCTCACCCTGTCAGAGTAAAAGAGACAAATGTATGTAAATGCATGTGTGTGTGTATATATGTATGTACATATGTATATGTACGTATGTGTGTGTGTATGTATGTGTATAAAGTACATATGGAAGCTGACCAGAATTGCATTTCACCTTTGTAAATGCACATTAATGGCACATCAAACACTTTATGTAGGGCATACGTAAATCTGTGTATCTATGTATTTACGTATGTAGGTTAGCTTAGCATTTTAAAAAGCACCGAATCACCTTCTGTGGTTGATTGTTCAATAAACCCTTGAACTATATGTTTAACACATCTCTCACCCTGTCCATGGAGGACAGAAGAAAATGTATATATGCTGGTTAGCATTGTAAATGTCTGGCCACGTTTGTGGTAGAAAAAAAAAATATTAAAAAAAAAAAAAAATTCAAATGTAGATATGATAGAGCTCGAGAAGCTCAAGAATCTATACACAATTAGATTGACTGTTGAGAGGCGGGACCAAAGAGCCAGAGCCCTTTGGAGCTCTCAGAGCCCCCGCAAGCACAACTAGGTGAGTACAGGCCCAGCACCCACACACACAGCTGATCAAAGCAAAAACTATGAACTATCGAGAGAGAATATTAAAGTTTATTTTTGAAGGAAAAAACCCTCCCAACAAATAATGATAAAAACGTGGCCGTATATCAGGGCGATGTTTAATGTGTGTGTGACAACATCAATACCAAATGGGCAGAGTCCAGGGCAAGGGAGCCTATGTCCCCCCAATGTGCACTTTAATATATTTCCTTATCGCGTTCACTATTGATCCCCCCTCCCCCCACCCTCCCTTCCTCCATACAACCCCCCTCCCCCTCCATACACCACCCCCTCCCTCCATAGACCACCCCTCTCCACCCTCCAAAACAACCCATTCCCCCAATTCCATATATACGGGGCTTCTAAATCCCTCCATTTGGTCGAAGTGCTTTCATTTTTACAACGTGGATTCTGACAGGTTTCCCTTGTGTTGCTTGATAATGTTATTAATTGGAATCGTAAAGAGGGCTTTACACATGACTAGTGACAGAAATGACTAGTATCTCACAACCCTAGACGACAAACAGGACAGAGAGGATATGATCACCACATACACAACACTGAGGAAAACAGTGTGGACCAAGGACAGCCTCTTCTGTAAAATGATGGAAAATAGAACCAGAGGACGGAAGGGAGTCGAAGAAACGCAAGAAATAATCCATATTCACTCCAATATGTGGAACGCATTGAATGAGGGAGGTGGGAGAACCCCTTCCCCAGTAGTCACTGTAGGACGAGGGGGGGGAGAGGAGGAGGGGAAGGAGGAGGAGGGGAAGAAGGAGGAGGAGGGGAAGAAGAAGGGGGAGGAAGCGAGAACATGGACAACCCCCCCCCCCCTCTGGCCCCACCAAACCCGTGCCACAGTCCAGGGTGCCAGTATAATACTGTTAGGCAGGTCTTAACACATCATTGCCAGTAATGGTGAAGGTGAGTACTGGGCGGTGACCGGCAGTTTCACCAGGAGTGTTGATCATCTTAGTGACTGGCAGTGCTGACTGTGACGTGACTGGCTCATCTCAAGTCAAAGTTTCCATAAGCCAAGACAGATTTAAACACACACACACACACACACACACACACACACACACACACACACACACACACACACACACACACACACACACACACACGGGGCCTCGTAGCCTGGTGGATAGCGCGCAGGACTCTTAATTCTGTGGCGCTGGTTCGATTCCCGCACGAGGCAG